ATCTTTCTTCTATCATTGACAGTCCCTCTAGGTTGTGGGCTGCTTGCCTGTGTTCCTGAGAAGCATCTACGGTACCAGTCTATAGAGTGTGTTTTCTTTAGTGAATTACCGGTATGTTTACCGGTAATAAACTTGCACTGTTTTATGTATATGTTTGATTACATACAGCCTTGTGACAGTTTTCCTGCATGTCATAAGCATTTGAATATAAATTAAAATGTTAAAATCAAATCTGATATTGTTTTACCTTTTATTTGGTGTGTGGAAGGTGTGCGGAAGAGGGGGTAGTCTTATACGGCGAGTATATAACAAACTCTGTATTTTGAGTGGAAATGTTAGGGGGTCGTCTTATACGCCCAGTCGTCTTATACGCTGGCAAATACGGTATGCTATAGTATTCCTATCACTTGTTATTAGAGTACCTGGTACAGGGAAAATAGAATTGGACGCCGGAGATATGTTATATTGATAGAGAAATTGGAAGACTTTGAAAACTGACAGTATGTTGTTTTGGAAGGGAAAAATAAAGCAAATGAAATAGTCAGGTGATATGTGTATGGGTAACATTGTATTTTTAAAACATTCATACACCATGAAATGCTTTTCATAAAATAGTATTCATTATTTCAGGGTTCATTAAAAAGTACCTAAAACTAGTGAACATACGGTTTAACTCTCTTTCTTGAGAGCCTTAGTAATACCATTCTAGGTACATTGGAGAGAAGGTAATTCATTACTTATACTGGATGCCTTAGAGCAGTGGTTCTCAACCTTGTGGCCCTTTAAATCCAGTTCCTCATGTTGTGACCCAACCATAAAATTATTTTCGTTGCTACTTCATACTTGTAATGTTGCTACTGTTATGAATCGTAATGTAAATATCTGATAAGCAGGATGGTCTTAGGCGACCCCTGTGAAAGGGTCGTTCGACCCCCAAAGGGGTTGCAACCCAAAGGTTGAGAACCACTGCCTTAGAGCAATTGGACTTCATTTTCTCATGGAACCCTAGTTGAGAAAGAATGAAAATATCTTGACTGAGGGTGGCTTCTGTTTCTCTGATCTCATCTGTACCCTGTTACTTCTCTAACCTCAGTTGAACTCTCTTGAATGTGATTCAGTCAGACGGCTCTGAGTTTTCCCAAAATGTAGAGTTTTTAATATGTTCATGCAGCCAGCACCCATAAACTACCTGATTTTAGTGTACCTAGGTGCTAGGAATAAAACTGTGATCAATGTGATCAACTTCAAGGAGCTTACAGTCCTAACAGGCCATTATCCCCCAGTTAGTTACTTGTGAGAGTGTTTCCGCACAAATCTTTGATCATAGTGTTGTGGGATGTGGTTCTGTGGAGTGGTGCCCAGAGTTTTAGAAAACTGAGAATAACTTGGGATAGGAGGTTACAATGCAAGAAAATTCTAGGGGTTTTACCAAAAGTCAGGAAACATGATATATTGTTAAGACGAGTAAAGATATGTGCTGTTGAAATCTGTAGGGCAAGCATGTCAAACTCAAAGGCTAACATGGGCAAAATAAACAAGGTTTAAGTTTATGTGGGCCGCAAAAAACAAAAGCTTAAATTTTCATAGAAATGTAGGTTTATTTCAATAGACACATACTGAATACAAAGGGCTGAAATAAATGAGTAGTCGTTAACATAAATTAATAGAACATTTTAATAAAATTAATATTTTTTCTTAAACATTAACTTACCAGACATTGAATAACTGCACAAATTAATAAGCATAATGCAAATAAACCTATTTTTCTTGTTTTCCAAAAGCGAAATATTTCCTGTTGCACACACCAAACAAGTCAGTCCAAGACCAATGACATGGCAGTCAGCTGCTAAAATATTCACAGCTAGTATTAAGTGGAGAGAAATGGTGCACTTGTGCTAAGGCACGTAAGGGAAATGAATGCAACACGATTATAGTAATGAGTCATTAGCAAATGTTGTAGTTCGTTATTAATAATTATATATAATAGGATATTGTAAAAATTAAGAAATTTTTATTAAAATGTTATATTGGCTGGGCTGCAAAAATATTTGTTGTGGGCCTCATGCAGCTCACGGACCACGAGTTTGATATGCTTGCTGAAGGGTTTCACATGATAGACATCTATATTTTAATTCAATTTTGTTCCAACTCCAAAGACAGTCCTATTCCATTCAGTTATATGTATGTGACCAAAATAGATCTGCTTAAAATTAAGTAAATGTAGTGGATGATTTTATGGACCATTTAAAATAGTTTATTTGTGGTGCTGGTTTTTGTTTGTTTATGGTTTTCCCCCCCCCATAATCCCAGTAACTTTAGGGTTTAATCTGCTCTTAATTAGCCAGAAAAAAAATCTTGGTCCTCTTATTCCATTTTAGATTAATTTCTAAGTTTAACTCAAAGTCTGCTTATTGATTTCATTAATACCACTTTCCTGTTTGTTTTGTTGTTGTTAGTCCTCACCTGAGAATATTTCTTTCCATTGATTATTAGAGAGAAGAAGGGAGAAAGGGAGTGGGAAGTAAAAGAGAGAGAAACATCAATATGAAACACATCAATTTGCTTAGTGGTTAGAGCATAGGCCAGTGCACAAAGGGTCATGGATTTCATTCTAAGAGCATGTACCCCGGTTGCAGGTTTGATCCCTGGCCCCAGTCGGGGCACATGCAGGAGGCAATAGACCAATGTCTGTCACTCTCTCTCTCTCTCTCTCTCTCTCTCCCCCTCCTCCCACCACTGTCTCTAAAAATCAATAGTAAGCCCAATCGGCATGGCTCAGTGGTTGAGCATCGACCTCTGAACCAGGAGGTCGCAGTTTGATTCCTGCTCAGGGCACATACCCAGGTTGTGAGCTTGATCCCCAATGTGGGGGCATGCAGGAGGCAGCCGATCAGTGGTTATCTCTCATCATTGATGTTTCTACCTCTCTCTCCCTCTCCTTTTCTCTCTGATATCAATAAAAATATCTTTTAAAAAACACTATAAACAGCACTTACCTTTTTAGCAGGGGGCCAGGAATGTGGGAAAATTGAAAAGAGATTTTTGTTTATTCTGAATACTCATGTATTTGATTTTTTTATAGCTGAGAATATATTGTACTAGTTACCCGGTGCATGAAATTCTTGCACATTAAAAGGTGATTAATTAGAGGAAATATTTTAATATTGCTATTTTCCCTTTCTCTATGATAGAAGTGTCAGAGATGAAAGAAAATTAGTAAAATGTATATGAAAATCTTCCTCCTGTCAGAGTCGGGGGCGCAACCATGGGACCCAGAATCAAGTCCCCACCCACCCAATGTGTGCCTCAAAATCGTGCAAGACCCAGACCCGACCACCCCCACCTCCCATTGGGCTAGATCCAAACCCAGCTGGTACCACCCTTGTCAAGCCCCGCTGGGCAGGGAGGCACAGCCTCAGATCCCCTGGCCTGGTGCCAGGGCGGGGGGGCTGTGGCTTGAGGTCCCCTAGCCCAGTCCAGGGCAGGAGTGTGCCTTGAGGTTCCCTGTCAAGCCCCATGGGGGTGGGGGGGTCGGGGCTGCAGCCTCAGGTCCCTGCTGATTGCTTGTTAAGGCTCGTGACGGGAACTTGGCCTCCGCTGTGGGCGCAGGCATCATGTGTTACAGAAACCCCCGACTCTGCTGCGTGCGCCGCCATCTTTGTGGCAGAGTGATGGTCAATTTGCATATTCCCTTTTTATTATATAGGATTACTAGTATAGAAAAAACTTGTAAAATCCTATATAATAAAACCCTAATATGCAAATCAACCAAACTGTAGAACAACCAGCGGAATGACCGATCACTATGACGTGCACTGCCCCCCAAGAGGGAGGCAACTGGTGGTGGTGATCAGGGGCGAGGCAGGCCAGCAGGTGGCGCCAGGCCGCCAGCCAAGGCAGCTGCCAGTGGGGGTCCCCCTGATTGCCCTGCATGCTGGTTGCTCCACAGAGGGAGGCGACTGGCCATGGGGGACGGTACCAGGTCGCCAGCCAAGGTGGGTGTCAGAGGGGGCCCCCCCAATCACCCTACTCACTTGTCGCCCCACATATCGGCCTTGATTGCCAGCCAGGCCTAGAGATCCTACCCTATATATTGGGAACAGTCTCTTAGATTTAAAAATTAAAACCTGGCAAGGCTACTCTAACACTGAAAAAACAGGATGATGCAGCGATGACATGTCTGGACTCTGGCTTGCACATTTTGTGGTCAGCCCTGATTCTGACACTTATAACTGTATAACAAAGCCAATTACTTAATTTCTCTCTGCTTCAGTTTTTCCACTCATAAGATGAGGAAAATGGTCCTACTGCCTCAGAAGGATCATGTTATATACTATTTTTTATAATCAGGGCAAAAAAATGTAGCTGCCCATACAACAGCAAGAAGCCTTTCACCTGTATGAAAAGTATAGTCACTGGTGCATGCAGCGTCCCAGACTGTAGGAGGAATGTCCCATCACTGCCAGTTTAGGCCTGATCCCCACAGCAATTGGACATCCCTTGATGTGCAGGCCAGGCTGAGGGACACCCCTCTACCCTCTGGTGCATGAATTTCATGCACCAGGTCTCTAGTCTATATATATATAAGCCTAAGCAACTGTTACGACCAGAATGACCCGTCAACCAGTTGCTATTACACACACTGTCCACCAGGGGGAAGATGATCAACTCAGGAACTGCCTCCTGGTGATCAGTGTGCTCCCACAGCCAACCTCCTCCAGCAGCTGCAGGCCCCCAGGCCCCAGCAGCAGCCAGCAGGCCCTGACTGGCCTGGCCCCAATTGGGACAGGGCGAGACAGCCCTGATAGGCTCTGATCACCTGCCAGGCCTAGGGACCCCACTCGTGCACAAATGATGTGCACTGGGCCTCTAGTGTTTAATAAAAGGGAAAGACCACTATACTAAATAATCTTTAAGTTTTCTAAACTCTAAATTTTAAGGGTACAGGCAGTTACTGCAATATTTTGATAAAAATCTTGAAGTATTTCTAATTCCTTTCCTAAATTATTTTTATTTAAATTGTTTTAAAAATGTTTTATAGGTGTGGAATATCAAACAAATGATTAAGTTGACACAGGAACATATAGAGGCGCTATTGGACAAATTTGGTGGGGAGCATAATCCACCATCAATATATCTGGAGGTAAGCTTTTGAGTATTATATTTGTAGTAATTTTGAAAAGAAAAATAGTGCATGCATAAAAAGCATTTGTACTGATAATATTGGTTATCTTAGGTGGTTGGATTAGAAATAATGGGAAAAGAGAATTAGTTTTGTCTTAGCTTCTTAATCTTGTTTCACTTGTTACAATAAATATATAGTATTTTGTAATTTGGAGAATGTCAAAATTAATAAAAAGTTGTATATGAACTCCAAAATTTTATTCTGTTAAAAAAAAGAAAGAAGATGATTCTGGAGGTCAGCAAACTAGTTGCCATGTTTAAAAATGGGGAGAATTTTGTAAAATGTCTTTTTTCCCGAACAGATCTCCCCCAAATTGGTTTTTGCTTTCTTATAGGTAAAATTTATAATGTTTAAATATTAAATAGCTCAAAATTACTTAGCTTTACTGTTTAATAGTGCCTTGAGGCTTTTGTATCAAGCCTTGAGTATCATTGTAAATTTATTGAGCTAGTCATTCTTCTTAATCCAATGAGGTAGTAGTTACTATTCTAATCACAGATAAGCTTTCTTGGCATTAGTTTCCTTAAGTAAGTCACTCAGATTCCATAGCCAGCAAGCTGTTATGGAATCTCGGCAGTCAGGCTCCACAGCCTGTTCTGCTTACCACTGCACTATTCTGCCTGTCCCTGTAAAAGTTGGCTCCACAGTAATTACTAGCCGTACAGGGATATAACCCTAAATGACAAATGATCAGGTTACCATTTGCATGCAAGTGCCAGAGATTTTTAGGAATGGACTAGATTTCTAATTTAGTAATCTAATCTAATTACTTTTTAAAGAGCAAGTTAAATCTCCAGTATTTAATGAGAAAGTTTGCATTTCTAAAATAAATTTGGGAGTTTGGAAATAACTGCTAATATACTGTTCTTTTCATATGGCTTATCCCAGAGCACACTGCCAGGTAATATTAGTGCTAGGAGTAGAATTCATACCTCTGAATGCTATCTGTTTTACTTGTATGTCTGAGGAGGACAAGAAAGGAGTCATAAGGAGGCATATAGTCCTGGGGAAAATAGTAATTCATTGTTAATCAGAATTAGACAACTTTAACCAGCAGTTTTTTTCTGTCCACCCTTTCTCTGTCTTGGGAGACATACACAGTAGGTCCTTGGGTTACGTCGGAGATCTGTTCCTATGGGGCAATGTAACGTGGTTTTTGCCATAAGTTGGAACCCACCTACATAAGCACCTACATCACTCACATGGAGCACATACACAGCAGTAATGAAGTGAAACAGTAAAAAAAAATTTAAGAGAAAGAATGCCGGAGCTGCCAAGATGCAGTGACTTGGCTGCGGTGGTTCTCGGGTGACACACCCCGAAACCAGAGAGGAGGGAGCCTGATTCCTCACGGGCCCATGCAATTCCACCTTTGGCCGTGGGTTATGTTATTTCTGGGGCACTGTTGGCCCCGAATCTGGTTTACTGCACACTTGTGTTTGCGTTCCAAACCCTGTACGACAGCAATTTTGCAGAGTGCCCTCTTACACTCCGGGACCCCTCGGAGGATGTCAGAGAGCTGGTTTCGGCCCCATCCCTGCAGGCCAGGCCGAGGGACCCCACCTGCCGGAGGGACCCCGCTCATTCCGCAGACGCCCTTTGCATCACGCACCACCCATGTGCGGCCAGCCAGGGAGAGACCTCAGGAGGTTGGCTCCAGGTCATGTCCAACCCATCTCACCCAGTCCCACCCCACCGGCCACCTTCTAATTAATTTCCTTTCGATGTGCATGAATCCGTGCACCGGGTCACTAGTAAACATATAAATTAGTTAAAACACTGAACTTACTACCATTTGATATATTATGAAGAGAGGAGCCTGGTTGGAGATGACAGTATTCTTCCAGAGGAAAATTGACTCAGGGAAAAGACCTATGGGTACTGATATTTGAAGGCCCTTTAGTGAAAAACCAGGTCTACTGATTACCCACTGAGACCCACCATTATATCCTTTCTGTCTCTATGAATTTGCCTACACTAGGAACCTCATATAAAGTGGAATTATGAAATATTTGTTCCTTTGTGACTAGCTTATTTCACTTACCATAATGTCTTCCAGGTTCATTCATGTTTATTTTGTGCAAAAATTTTTTTCTATTTAACATTGAATAATATTCTATTGTATGTATACAGGATGAAGCTATATCTTGTGGTTTTGATTTGCATTTCCCTGATAACTAATGATGTTGAGCATCTCTTCCTGTGGTTATTGGCCATTTGTATTTTTTTCTGTGGAGAAACGCCTATTCAAATCTTTGCGCATTTTTTTAATTGGGTTGTTTGTGTTGTTGAGTTGTAGGAGTTCTGTATATATTCTGAATATATGTCCTGAATATCAATCCTAATCAGATAGATAATTTGCAAATATTTTCTTCCATTCTGTGGGTTCCCCCTTCACTCTGTTGATAGTGTCCTTTGATACTCAAAAGTTTTTTTGTTTTTTTTTAATGAATCTAACATCTGTTTTTCCTCTTGTTGCCTATGCGTTTGGTGTCATCCAAGAAAACATTGCCAAATTCAATATCATAAAGCTTTTCCCTATGTTTTCTTCTAGGAGTTTTATAGTTTTAGTTCTTATGTTTAGGTCTTTGATCCATTTTGAGTTAATTTGTATTTGTGATGTAAGGTAAGGGTCCAGCTTTTGCATTTCTTATCCAGTTTTCCCAGTACCACTTGTTGAAAGTCCTTTCTCATTGAATGGAAATTTTGATAAATGTGCTTGTCAAGACATTTTACCATATATGTGAGAATTTATTTCTGGGCTCTCTACTCCATTGGTCTATATGTCTGACTTTATGCCAGTACCACACTGATTTGATTACTATAATAAAAGCTAAGTTTTGACATCAGGAAATATGAGACCTCTAACTTTGTTCTTTCTCAAGATTGTTTTGGCTGTTTCGGATCCCTTGAAATTCCATATGAATTTTAGGATGGATTTTTCTATTTCTGCAAACACACTGGGATTTTGATAGGGATTGCATGAATCTATAGATTGCTTTAGATAGTATTGACATCTTGAGTCTTTTTTTGTTTTAAGTATGTTTTTATTGATTTCAGAGAGAGGAAGGGAGATAGAAACATCGATCTATCCTGCACACTCCCCACTGGGGATTGAACCCACAACCTGAGCATGTGCCCTGACCAGGAATTGAACCGGCAGCCCCTTGATTCATAGGTCAACACTCAACCACTGAGCCACACCGGCTGGCAAGAGTCTTTAACTCTTAAATATGAATGGATATCTAAGAATAAACAGAAATGTGAAGAAAACTTTTTAACAAATATAACAACAGAAATGGTGAAAATATGTGCAGACAGCAAAAGAAAATTATAATTAACATCAGAGATATGAGAAGACATACTAATCTGTTCTTGTTTCATGGCCGTACTAAAGAAGCAAAAGTAGCCCTGGCCAATGTGGCTTGGTTGGTTGGAGCACCATCCCATGCACCAAAAGTTCTCAGGTTTGATTGCCTGTCAGGGCATATAACCTAGGTTGCAGGTTCACTCCCAGGAACAGGGCACATACAATAGGCAACTGATATCTATCTACCTATCTCCCCCTCTCCCTCTACCTTCCTCCTTCCTTCCCTCCTTCCTTCCCCCTTTCCCTCCCTTCTCTCTAAAATAAAAATAGAAAAAAAACCACACACACATGAAAACATATCCTTGGGTAAAGATTTTTAAAAAGCAGCGAAAGTAATAGAAAATCAATTGACCATAAATGCAAGGCTTTATTTCTGGACTCTAATTCTGTTGTGTTGTTCTATATGTGTATCCTTACTCCAGTACTACATTGGCTTTGATCTTCAGAGTAAATTTGAAGGTGTTGCTATTTTCTAAGTGAATTAAAAGTGGGGCGCAGGGATGAAGTTAGGAGCCAGAGAAGCATGGGAAAGTTGGAATCAGTATTGGGAAGAATTTAATAGGATGTTAAAAATAAGTAACATTTTTCAGGCAATAATATGCAGGACTAAGTTCCGTGAATTGATAATGGAACTAGTTGGCCTAGTTTCATTATTTTTTCCATCAATATGTAGTAACCTGAGAGGAAGAATGGAATAATTGAGTGGTAGGATTTACCCAAGATTAGTATTTAACAAGCAAGTTAGTAAAACAATGAGAATTAGCCATAGAATCTAAGATGTTAACAGTGGCATTGTTGAAATGAGTCACTAAGACAACAAACCAAATCTGAGACACTTTAAGGGATTAACATTGACCATGAACACATTAATGTGGTAGTGAGATGGAAGCTTAAAAAGGTGGGATAAGTGTGTGTGCATAGTGGTATGGGAGGTTATAAACAGATCTTGACATCATTTGGAACTCTTGTAAAGAACGATATAGTATAGTTCTGGATCTTGAAGGTAATGTGGAAATAAATGCCTTTACGATTCAGGGTATAAAGAACTTTAAGGCAAGAGTATTAAAAGAATACTAGATGTACTGTGGTAAATAATGGCAGATTTTATAATCAAAGAAAACACAATAATTTCAAGAGAAACATCAAAAGTGCTTTATTCATAGTAATGTCCATCGCTAGCTACACATTTTCCTCATCTTTCAGGTAATTTGTGGATATCGTCCCAATAGAACTTTTCTTGTTTTGAGGCAAACCATTCAGAAACCCAATTTTCCACTTCTTCGTATGTTTTGAAGTGCTCAGAAAGTGCGTGTGCCACCGATTGGAACAGGTGGTAATCTGAAGGAGCAAGGTCTGGTGAATATAGCGGGTGGGTTAATACTTCCCAGGCAAGATCTTTTAACGTGTCTTTAACTGGTTTTGAAGTGTGTGATGGTGTGTCATCATGAAGCAAAATTACTTTGCCGTGTCTTCTGGCACATTCTGGTCATTTCACCATCAGAGCGTGGTTCAAATTGATTATTTGTTGTCGGTAACTATCAGTATTAACAGTTTCACCTGGTTTTAGAAGCTCATAATATACCACAACTTCCTGATCCCACCAAATGCAGAGCATTGTCTTCTTTCCGAAGGGATTTGGCCTTGCAGTCAATGTTGATGGTTGACCTGATCAACCCATTTGTGCATTTGGGATTCTCAAAATAAATCCACTTCTTTGTCTTTCACATAGAAATCATCACTTTTAAAGCATTTAAACCAGTGTTCACAAGTATGTTGAGATGGAGCATGTTCACCATAAGCTTCCCAAAGTATACAATAACTTTTTCTTCGAAATAAAGTAATGAATTAAAATTTACCACAAATGCTTTTTTTGGGGCAAGAAATTTGACATTTTTAAGCATAAAAATATCTATGATGTTAACACCTTCAGCAAATTTGACATATGAAGTTTTAAAGCTTGTTGTCAATACAATAAAATAGCATACATATCAAATCGCATATATATCAACATATGTGTAACTCCATCTATTGAAAAAAATCCACATTATTAACTGGTACACCTAGTAATCAATAGCCACACTGAATGCAGCCAAGATAATAGGGTGAAATGAACCAAGCCAGGTACAAAACAAGGTAGGCAAGTGCCGTGGTAGATTGCAGCTGTAACAATAGAGAGAGGTAGAATAAGTAAATGTTTTGTACTTAAGAAAAAGTGGAGGGCCTGGCCGGTGTAGCTCAGTGGTTGAGTGTTGACCCATGAACCAGGTTTTGATTCTTGGTCAGGTCTCATGCCTGGGTTGTGGGCTCAATCACCTGTGGAGGGGCGGGTGTGCAGGAGGCAGCTGATCAATGGTTTTCTCTCATCATTGATGTTTTTATCTCCCTCTCCCTCTCTCTAAAACCAATAAAAACAAAAGAAAGAAAGGAAGAGGTACTGATAAGTGCAGTGAAATGATGGTTTGTAATCCACAATTGAGGGAATAGTGTATTTTCCAAAATTAAGAAAAACATTTTGATAAATAATATTCAAAAGTTTTATTGTTTACATGTGTTTCTTTTCCTAAGGCTAACTTTGTGTAGTGAATGTGCTGCCCAATAAATAAGAATATTTGATCTATGCAAGCAGGAACTTTTGCCTCCCTAACTGCATGTTTACAATCTTCAAAGGGTAGGAAATGCATTGGTCTTTATTTTTGTGATCTGAGCCCCAAACAGTGCCAAGCACATGTATGCTCAATATATATTTACTGAAGGCTCAATAAAGTGGAGCATATTGAAAGAGCTGCTCATAAATAATTAGCACTTGGTACTGAAATTTATATAGTACTACAGATAAGAAAATTTTTACTTTGGTTCTTATGCCCTGGAATGCTATGAAATATTTCAAGGTCAGGGTAGGGCCCCTAGTAGGCTGTAATGAAGGCTATTTACCTCAGTAGATCATTTTAGTATTTTATTTTATTTTCTCCCCCCAAAAATAGAAGGCAAGATCTAGCATACCAGGTGCGGTGGCCTTTTCTGAAATGAAAATGTTGCTTCATTCTCTTGTATCTTTGATAATTCTTCCTTCCTTGTAGAATGAAGTTCAGGTTTCATAACATGGTATCTTCTATAATAATAAAAGTATAATATGCTAATTACACTGGACAGCCGAACAACCTTCCAGATGAAGCCTCAGCAGCGGGGGCCAAGGCAGAGGTGGTTAGGGTTGATCCGGCAGACAAGCAGTTAGGGGCAATCAGGCAGGCAGGCAAAGGGATTAGGGGCGATCAGGCAGGCAGGTGAGTGGTTAAGGGGATAAGGCAGACAGGCAGAGGCGGTTAGGGTTGATCAGGCAGGCAGGGATTAGGGGCGATCAGGCAGGCAGGTGAGTGGTTAAGGGGATAAGGCAGACAGGCAGAGGCGGTTAGGGTTGATCAGGCAGGCAGGCAGAGTGGTAGGGGCAATTAGGCAGGCAGGCGCGCAACCAAACAGCAGAACGACCAGTTGCTATGATGCGCACTGACCACCAGGGGGCAGACACTCAACGCAGGAGCTGCCCCTGGTGGTCAGTGCATCACTCAGCCAGAAGCCAGGCTCATGGGCTGGTGAGAGCAGTGGCGGTGGCAGGAGCTTCTCCTGCTTCCGCGGCAGCGCTAAGGATGTCTGACTGACGGCTTAGGCCTACTCCCCATGGGAAGCAGTCCTAAGTCGTCAGTCAGACATCCCCGCGGGGCTCCCAGACTGTGAGAGGGCAAAGGCCGGGCTGAGGGACACCTCCTCCCCCAAGTGCCTGAATCTCGCGCACCAGGCCTCTAATACACACACACACACACACACACATACACACACACACACACACTCACACACACACACACACACACACACACACACACTATAAACTGGTCCCTTACCTACATTTTCAGTCTTAAAGTTTGTTTTCCTAGTCTTCAGTTAAATGCCACAAATATATATTGACCCCTTACTGTGTCCCGCCTATGACATTCAGCTATACTAGTTTATAGTTTTTCCTCTATGTCTTAAAATTTTCTGCCTCCTTACTTTATTACACAATTTACCCTGTACTCAGTCCTCTCTTCTCCCCACTTCATCCAAATAAATGCTACTCTTTTAAGACCCTCCTTTCTCATTCTTGTATCAAGAATGTTCTTTGTTTATTTTTCACATATAGTACTAACACAAATAAAAATATATTCATCTGCTTCTCAGCAGCCCAATAATGAACTCCTTGAGAGCTGTGAATTGTCATTTCTAAACCTTTATTTTCCCTGTAGCCTTTCATAAATGGTTGTAGTACTGCATCTTTAAGGGAGAAATGGTAAACCATAGTATGGGATGATTACAACTGCCTTAAAGAACTATGGACAAGTATATGTCACAATTCATTCCATCTCTTTATTTTCAATATCATTCGGTTTTCAAGATATTTCTTACTTTTAGAATATGGTATATGTGGTAATTTGATCTGATAGTCTTAGTTAAAATGGACAGTGGTTCCAGAGTTTCTTGACTGTAGTATGTAAGCCACCTTTTCAAATAAAATTTTATTCTCTAAGCAGTATTTAATAAGGAAGGAGGTCATCATAGATCCATAGTGAGAAGAATAAAGAATTTTAATTGATAGCTATTTCAGAAGGAAGATAGCAGTTATACATCTTCTAAGATTTTGGTGGTAGTGGTGAGATCTGGCACTGTGTACCTGAGTCTTATTTTTTTGACAAATCTAATACCTCATCTCCTTTTCAACTTGTTTGTCTGTTCTTAGAGCAGGGGGAGAGGAGTGTGAAATTTTATGTGCCAACAGATTTTTTTGAGGGGGGAAACAATTGTAATGAAGAGGGTACTTATCCTTGATGTAGTATAGTATTTTATACTATCTTTTATTAATACTCATAGATATTATAGACATCTCTTTTATATGTGTTTATCAGTTTCTCATTGTAATATAATGTATTTTATAACAAAAGATATATCAGTTTAAAGGTAAAAGTAGTCATTTACAGTACTTCCAGTGCTTATTTTGAAACTTAATAACTTAAAACCCTGTAAGCTAAATTATAAAGAGATTATAATTGAGGACTTAAATTTTATGTTTTCTTTTGTTACTGTCAGGAAGAGTTCCAGATTCACTATAAATCTACTTTATTTTATAGGCCTATGAAGAATACACCAGCAAGCTAGATGCCCTCCAACAAAGAGAACAACAGTTATTGGAATCCCTGGGGAATGGAACTGATTTTTCTGTTTCTAGCTCTGCATCAACGGACACCGTTACATCTTCTTCCTCTTCTAGCCTTTCAGTGCTACCTTCATCTCTTTCAGTTTTTCAAAATCCCACAGATGTGTCACGGAGCAACCCTAAGTCACCACAAAAACCTATTGTTAGAGTCTTCCTGCCCAACAAACAGAGGACAGTGGTGAGTCAACTTTTAATATCATCATTGCCTTTTCTTTGTACTTTTCAGAAAGACCACTTGTTGAAAATGAAATATATCATCACTTTATACTCAGTGGTCTTACAAATTGAAGCATTTTAAACAAGGGAGGAAAAGACAATTATTTGGTGCCAAAGTCTGTGTTCTTTAACTATAACAAATAGTATTGTTTTTAGTGTCAGATTTGACATTTAATCTTACCTCCCAAACTTGAACCATGCTCAAGTTTAAGTACTAGTTCAGAATCAATTAGAATTTTAAGACTAGTGCTTGCTTGTTGTCTAACATCTATCAGGTAAGATTCATTCTTCATCCTTGAGAATTCTCTATTTGGATTTATTTTTCCTCTTGTTTATATAACTTTTGATTATTGATCATTGGTATCACCGTTAGAGTAGAGTACTCTGTAAGTAACATTTAGAACAGAGAAATCTGCAGAATTATTTTGGATGGTCTGTAATCCTCAAGTGCAACGAATACTGTCAGTAGATTTAGTAAATAATGCACCCTTATACATTGTTACTTTTTATAATGCATATTGCTTTTTATATTAACAAAAACCATTTTCTTTCCAAAAACGTCAAAGTAGTTTTTAATTATTTTTCTCAGGCAGCATCATTGGTAATGCTTATTCTTAATGGAAAAAGTTTGCTCACCTGTGCTATAGTGACCTCCAGTGGGGTCAATTTTTCACCATGTCCAACAAAGGGATTTGAAGATTAATGTGTGGGAACATAAGACTAGGCCTTATGACACAGACATGGTTGGAATTTAGATCTTTACCTAAAGCTGAACCTTGAAGAGCTTTACCTTCAACAAAAGGGTGAACTGGAAGGAAATTTATTCTCCAGCATATATAAATAACAGTGAAACTTATCTGTCTTTGCCAGGGTTCCAGATAAGAGTACCCTGTATACTCTTAACTATAGACCTAGTCTAATCAAAGTGTGGATTTCCCTGCACCCAAGAAATTAATGTAACAACTGGTACTAGAGGGGTAATAGCATTCAGGGACAGGGCAAAAGTAAATGGAAACCCTCTCTGGCCCATTCAGGTCCCTAAATTCACAGAGAGAATACCCTTGTGACAAGCTCAAAATCCTAATTTATAAAATATATAAGGAAACTGTCTACTGTTCATGAGTTAGAAGATTTAGAAACAGCTAAATTAGGCTCCTAAGAAGGAACAAAACAGAACTTCCAGGTGGTCTTCAAATTTTAAAAAAAAGGAAAGCCTACCTTTTACAACAGCATGGATGGACCTGGGGAATATTATGTTAAGAGAAATAATCCAGACAGAGAAAGACAAATACCATGCGATTTCACTTATATGTGGAATCTAATAATAAAATAAACTAACAAATAAAATAGAAACAGACCCATAAATACAGAGAACAGACTGACAGGGTTGGGGGGCTGGGTGAAAAAAAAATCCTCATAGACATAGACAGTACTATGGTGGTTGCCAGAGAAGAAGGGGCATGTGGGGAGGTAGAAGAAGGTAAAGGGGGAATTGGTGACAGGAGATTTGACTTGGAGTGGTAAACACAGAATACAATATACAGATAATGTATTATAGAATTGTACACCTGAAACCTATTTAATCTTATTACCAACTAGAGGCCCAGTGCACGAATTTGTGCACCAGTGGGGTCCCTCAGCCTGGCCTGTAGGATCAGGCCAAAACCCGCTGACATCCCCTGAGGGGTCCCGGATTGCGAGAGGATGCAGGCCAAGCTGAGGGATCCCACTGGTGCATGATCGGGGCCTGGGAGGGATGTGGGAGGTTGGCCAGCTGGGGAGGGCCCGCAGGAGGACTCCAGGGCACCAAGCTAACCTACCCACCGACTGTTTGCCCCCTGGTTGTCAGTACACATCATAGCAAGCATTTGCGCAGCCTTAGCATATCATTAGCATATTACGATTTGATTGAACAGATGACCAGACAACCGGACACATAGCATATCACATTGTATGCGGGAAACATATTCATACGTTTTACGTTGAGTGGTAGTAGAGCGCAGGATACGTATTAATACGTTTTTTATAGACTAGCGGTAGAATGCGGGTAACATATAAATACGTTTATTTTTATACTTTTATATTGCTCTAAAGGAATGCTAACATGCAGATATACGAATTCCAAAGGTTGTCATTTGCGCAAAGAATTAGCAAAAATGACCCGCACCACCTATTAGTGCACGATAAAAACTACCTGCAAACAATGTGATATGAGGCTTTCATTATATACGATATCAACCCAATAAATTCAACAAAGGAAGGGAAGAGAGGGGAGGGGAGGGGAGGGGAGGGAAGGGAGGAGGGAAGGAAGGTCAGTGGATGACAGTTATCATCTATGAAGTATTCTTGCTAAGAATGATTACAAGTTAAATGTCAAGTTTCTGCACCTTCCATTTTACAAGAAACACGGAGATAAGCACCATGAGGAAATAAGAGAAATGTGGACATCCTCTAAGATAAACTGCCTCAATGTGTTGGAGATTAAAAGGTTGGGAATTTCCCTGGCTGGTGTGCCTCAGTTGTTGGGAGCATCGTCCCATGCACCAGAAGGTCGCAGAGTCGATTCCCTGTCAGGCACATACCTAGGTTGCTTGTTCAATCCCTAGTCAGGGCCATGTATGGGAGGCAACTAATCAATGTATCTCTCACATAGATGTCTCTCTCTCTCTCTCTCTCCCTCTCTCTCTCTCTCTTCCCCCCCTCCCTCTCTCCCTCTCTCCCCCTCTCCCCTCTCCCCTCTCTTCTCTCGCTCCTCTCTCTCTCCTCTTCTTCTGTCCACCTTCTTTCTTCTTTGGAATCAATAAAATAAAATTAAAAAGTTGTGGATTATTCTACATTAAAAAAGACTAAAGCGACATAACAACTAAATACAGTGTGTGATCCTAGTTATAGATTAGGATGGGGAGAGCTGTAAAAGACATTCTTGAGACTTGGAAAGTTTTTAATGTTGACTGAACATTAGATGTTATAGAATTACTAATTTTTAAAAAAATATATTTTATTGGTTTTTTACAGAGAGGAAGGGAGAGGGATAGAGAGTTAGAAACATTGATGAGAGAGAAAGATCCATCAGCTGCCTCCTGCACACCCCCCACTGGGGATGTGCCCGCAACCAAGGTACATGCCCTTTACCGGAATTGAACCTGGGAACCTTCAGTCCACAGGCCGATACTCTATCCCAGAGGTCCTCAAACTACAGCACATGCAAATACAAATACTGTATTTGTTTCTGTTTTGTTTTTTTACTTCAAAATAAGATATGTGCAGTGTGCATAGGAATTTGTTCATAGTTGTTTCTTTTAAACTATAGTCCAGCCCTACAACTTAACTGTACAATTCAATGACTTTCTACAAATGTAACTGCCATGCAAATTATGATATAGAACATGCCAGACCAGTGTAGCTCAGTGGTTGAGCATAGACCTATGAATGAGGAGGTCATGGTTCAATTCCCAATCTGGGAACATGCCCAGGTTGCGGGCTCAATCCCCAATAGAGGATGGGCAGGAGACCGCCGATCAATGATTCTCTGTCATCATTGATGTTTCTATTTCTCCCTCTCCCTTCTTCTCTGAAATCAATAAAAATACCCTTTTTAAAAAAAGATACAAAACATTTCTAGTGTTTGAGAGTATTCTCCCGCCTCCTCCCTCCAACTTGAATTCAGGACCCACCCTCAAGAGTAACCACTATTGTGACTACTCAATCAATTTGGAACTTATTGTCAAATGATATGATGGAAAACAAAATGTGGGGGGAGAGAGAAAAAAATGAAAAAATTATTTTTAATCTAAGTAGAAAAATTTCTTCTAATAGAGTTAGAAGAATTCAAACAACATAGAATAAAGGAAAACTGGAAAGTTGAAAAGAAACAGTTGTCTCTAGGAAAAAAATACTATTGAATGTATTGACGCTGATTTAAGGAAATAGCAGTATAACATCTATATATATAAAAGGCTAAGCGACTGTCTGACCGGTAGCTATGACACATAATGACCACCAGAGGGGAAGACATTCCGACCGGTAGGTATGACGCACACTGACCACCAGGGGGCAGACGTTCAATGCAGGAGCTGCCAAGCTGCCGTGACTTGGCAGCAGCGGTTCTTGGGTGATGCACCCGGATCCAGCGAGGAGGAAGCCTGATTCTGGGGAGCATCACCCGAGAATCGCCCTTTTACAATCCAGGACCCCTCGGGGGATGTTGGAGAGCCGGTTTTGGCTCGATCCCCACAGGCCAGGTCAAAGGACCCGACCTGCCGGAGGGACTCCACTCACTCCACATACAACCTGCAAGCTGCAGCACTGCGGCAGGCCAGAGAGGGACTGCTGGAGGTTGGCTCCGGGGCATGTCCGGCCCTTCTCGCCCAGTCCCACCCCGCAGGCCACCTTCTAATTAATCTCCTTTCAATGTGCACAAATCCATGCACTGGGGCACTAGTTTTAAATTAAATCTCAACATATTAAAAAAAGACAAATGGAATAAAAACCATCTCAACATGTCAAGATCATTACAGCTTACCACAGAGCTGTGTTAAAATGCTTTAGAAAATTATAATATTTATTTTCAGAATTTCAATGGATGAGGTAAAAAGTTGATAAAACCCAACTGAATGTAGGAAAATATAAAGAAAGGTTAAGTACATGAAGAAGGGAATGAACAATTTCATTATGTATCTCAAAAAGAGTTTCAGAAAGTGAGAATAGAAATAAAGAATTAGAGCAAAATTTAAAGAAATGATGGCTAATATTTATGAAAGACATAGATGTAAAGATTTGGGCAACATAAGCCCTAAGTTGGTAAGTAAATTTGAATCCATACTTATAAATGTAACAAAATGAAAGGATATTGCTTCCAGATCACTTGGGCGGAGGGGTGGAAATTACCTATAAAAAATTTTCAATTAGATTATTAAAACAGCTTCTTCATAGCAGCTGCAGGAAGCCAGAAAACAATAGAAT